AATTTCTCCCCTCTCCTCGCTGAAGCATAGAATCCTAATAATAAATGAATTCTAACAACTCGAAAATGTCTTTAACAATTTCTTTTATTATTTTTTTATATAGCTTCCCGTTCGATCTCGAACCATTTTAATTCTTCCCTTCCTTATCGATCGAAAAGTGAAAATTTTTCCTTCTCGATGAATAAAATTCGATAAATATCCATTTTATCTATTTCTTTTCCGAATGAAACGGTGAGAATAATCATGCTAATCACGTTCCATAATTAAAATAGTTTAACTTATAAACGTAATTTCGTAAGTTCGAGACGAAGAAATAATAAAAATAATAGAAGAAAATACAAGATAAAATAAAAAAAAAATAGAAAAAAATAAAAAAAAAAACAGAATAAGTTAGATGAATAATAATAAACGATGAAAAAAAACAAAACAGTCAATAGACAAAAATCAGTTTCAACACTTTCTAAATATTAGCCCTACCTCGAAGCCCAACCAAATAGACCAAATTCGTAACATCCTCAACTTTCTCCCGGAACAGAGGCAAGTCAAAATTCAATGAACAAAAGCTCAGAGGAGGGAAAAAGGGGGGTTTTTCCTTCCTTCGAAAAACCCTTCCTTCTTTTCATTCGCGAAGAGAGAGAGAGAGAGAGAGAGACCTTCCTCTCCCCCCTCCTCTCTCCCTCCCTCCCTTAAGCGTTAACTCCTAGCGAGCAAAACTATTACAATTCCTGAAGCTCGCGCGTTTCCCTTCCCTTCCCATCCTATCGGCACCCGTTCCTCCTCCCCCTCCTCCCCCTCCTGCTCGTGGCCCTGCTGGCAACCCACGTCTCTCCGCGTTCTGGCATCGCGCCCGTCAAGGGAGATTTATAGCAACTCGAATTCCTCGACTACTAGTCGGCCGTGGAGCGACCGAGGAGGAAGCGAGCGAGGGAGTGGAGAGGAAGAGGAGAGCAGTGAAAGGGAGAGCCGCGGTTCCGGAGAACCTGGAGGGCCCTCTCCGCAGCAGGGTGGTGATGGTGGTGGTCGTAGGTGGTGGTGGTGGTGGTTGTAGATGGTGGCGTTCGGCTGTTGGGTTGTTGGCCTCGCGTTCTCGGGGGTGAGGAGAGGAGGGAGAGAGAGAGAGAGGGAGAGAGGAGAGAGAGAGAGAGAGAGAGAGAGCGCTCGTCACTTTGACGGGAACTCGTACTCCATCGTCTAATACGTCCACGTCGATCCTGTGCACCGAGGGTTCCTCTCGTGACGATGACGTCACGAGGAGCGGTGTATTTCGAATTCTCGATATGTTCGGGGGGGAGGGGGGCGAGAGGTGAACCTTCTCTCGGGACTAATCTTTTTCACGCGAAATTTCACCAATTGGCTTCGAGAATCCGTTCGGTTTCTTTTAAAGAAAAATAGGAAAATTCGTTTTGGAATAATTTGGAATGTTTTTGAATCGACTTTGATCGGGATCGGAAAGAAAATTTCACGATTCAAGAGTGCGAGGGTATTCTTAATCGATTCTATTGAAAAAAGGAAAAATTTAATGGTAATTCGAATATTTATTTTTAAGTTTTCTTTAAAAAAGGAAAAATTTAACGGTAATTCGAATATTTATTTTTAACTTTATTTAGTTATTTTTAATCGACCTAAGGAAGATTTCGTTTTGAAATGAAGGAAAAATTCAAGAAAGTTTAGAATTATTCTTAATCGATTCTTTTAAAAAAAAGAAAATTTCACGGTAATTTGAATATTTAAAGTTGCCTTTAATTGACACAGAGAAGATTTCGAAAAAGGAGGAACCTAAAGCCTAAAGATTCTTTTGAAAAAGGAAAATTTCACGAATATTTAGAGTTGCCTTTAATCGACACAGGGGAGATTTCGAAAAAGGAGGAACCTAAAGCCTAAAGATTCTTTTTAAAAAAGGGAAATTTTATGGTAATTCGAACGTTTAGAGTTGCCTTTAATCGAAGATTTCGAAAAAGGAGGAACCTTAACCTCAACCGAAGACTCGAGAGGCGGTTTTAATGAAGGAAAAAAATTTCATCTTTTGGAAACAAAAGAAAAATCTCACAATGGGCCATCTTTAATTTAATTTTTGAGACAAAAGAAAGGGAGGAAAAATAGCGTCTCCCTCACGGTTTGGAATAAAGGGAAGGGCAGCGCGCGAGACGAAGTAGATATCAATCACTTGGCCTGGTGACGGGTTGAGATTTGGCAGCAGCTTCGGAACGCGGCGCGAAAGAGGAGGAAGAAAAGGCGCCGTCCAACAACTGCGTCCATTCTATCGTCATTTTTCTAAGAGAGGCCCTTACATATCGATTCACGAGTTATCGAGGTGTCAATGCCGACTGCCATTGTCATTGGTCTGGTTCGCGTATAGATGTCGCGTACGTCGGGCGACGATGAGCCCTGTCACGCCATCACGCGACGCGTTTCTTCTCTTCTCGCTCCTGTTCCAGCAGGAGACGAATTCTTGGCACCTCGACTCGTCGAGGAACTCGTGGGTGAAATCTTGTCTCCGGATTAATCGATTTTCATCTCTTATATCTAGCCGCGGTCTTCTTCGTTTCGGGAAGAACAGCATCGGTTGGCACCATTCTCCCTGTGTTGCGAAACTATGTCTCCCTTTTTTAAAATCGCCGTGCTCGATTAGGGAGACCTTGGTCCTATTAAATTGGGACCAAGTTTCATTTTGTTGCTTATTATATATAGTATCCAAATATATATCGTACAATACCTAAGTTGACTGAAAACACTGTTATGAATTTACAACTTATCTGAATTTGGAAAAATTAAAAATCTGGAAACAGTGAATTTTCGATTCGATTTGGTATATATGGATGGTGGATATAGTAGGTATGGATTATAGTTATCTATGATATTTTCTCCAAATTAAATTCGATTCTAACTTTAATTAACTTTAATTTTATTATTATTCATTGTCTACACAAGTCTACACGAGTATTCGATTCGTTTGGAAAAAAAAAAAAAAAATTGAGGTTAGAGTGTTGTTAAATCGCGGTAAGGGCGATTCTAAGTTTGTTCCCGTGGAATTCAGAGGAAAGGGCGTCGGATGCGGATTCAGTCAGCGTCAGTTTCAATGAGGAAGAAGGCATGCCTCTTCTCTGACCAGTGTCAGTTACATGTTCTAGAATACTGGCCCCATGGGATCGCGAAGGTAAGACTTCACCCGGCGAAACTGCTCGGTGTCAGAAAGACTGAAAACGTGATGTGACACGTGCTCGCGCGTTTAGGCCGACGAGCGTTGTTATGAGATTGCGTAACACGCTCGGACGAGAAAGAAACACGCCGCATGAAATGTTAAAAATATGGTTGACACGTGGAAGATGATAAAACCTTCTCTGTTTTGCGCGATGGGATTGATATTCCGAAAATAGTAATTGTAAGCGGATTAACTTCGCATTACGCACATATAATAGTGTTAATAGTTGTAAACTATTAATATCATTGAAAATTTTGTGAAGAAATGTTTTAATATTTATGACAGAATTTAATGACAGAAAGAAATTGAGAAAATATTAAGAAAGATTTTTAAATGCTTTTTACGAAAATATTATACAAGTCATTCATTTTTTTAAATATTCTGAAGAAATTCTTTGAATAATTTTCATTTTATGAAGAATTAAAAATACATTGTAAACGTATAAATTTGATAAAACGAAAAATTCTGCCATCTATGAAGAAAGGAGCGTAACCTGTTGTATGTAGATATTCCATTGTTGATAATAGATTTCTTTGCGATCTATTATATCGAGCGATAGAGATTCTCAACGATTTTTGAGGCGAATTTCAAGATGGTGCTTTGATCGTTATTACAGCCATCATGAATCAAATTATGTCAAGAATAAGTGGGGGTTGATGTTGACGAGAGGTGGGTCTTTCTGGTTAAGCCTACCACTGAAAGGGTGGAGTCCGCTACGCATGACCTACGACCATCTGGAAGTACCACATTGGCGTAGAAATATTAGAATTTATTTGATAAAAATTTATACGTGCCCAAAAATTAATTTTCTTCGATTTAATTTAATATTTCTCAAATATTTAAAATCCCTTATGATTATATGAAATAATTCCAGTAGAGCAGAATAAAATGTAAGTATATTTACTCGATATTTTAACATTGATGTTAATATTTATAAAAAGATTTATAAAAACGTACGTACCTTCAATACATCATATGCGAATATACAAAAGATAATTATTTTTTTACTTTATTTTAATTATAAATGATAAGAGAGACCATTGTAATTTTTAATCACAAAAAACAAATATATATTTTTGAATCAAGCAACTATGAGAAAACGGAGGAACTACTTTAAAGTAAAACTATCGGTAATAAACTTTACGAGAATCTGTAGCTAGTGCCATCTTGTGGTATTTTCTATCACAATTCCTGAAATATCGATCTCAACAATATTTTCAGATTATTGTTTGATTACTGAAATAATATAAAAAAAATACTACGATTTATTATCGATAATTTTTTTGCATAACATTTTATTTCTTTTTATAAAAATAGATATATTTAAAATAAATTTCAATTATCTTTTTATTCATATCGAAACGAATATACGTTAATTAATTTATTACAATTAAAATTTTTTTTATTCATTTGTTTGATGATTAGAATAACTCATATTACGTCTTTCTAAGATGGAATTTCTGCTTGATTATTGTTTTATTTTAACTCGATAGATTAGTTTATAATCCTACATCTTTTCTATTATTAGTTAATTACTCTCTTCAAAGGTGAACAAAATTTCAATATAGATTATGAAAAAGAAATAAAATTTTATTTTTTTGTTCGCATATAATTAGAACATGAAATAATATCATGTAGCACTTCAATTTTCGCGCGGATTTGAAATAAATGTAGCCAATCAGAAATCAGTTAAGATCTAACCGCGAAACGAATCATTGCGCATCATAATGCGCATGGCGTTAGTCTACAGTCGAAAATCATAGTGTCAGGTTGCGTTTTACCGGTTAAAGTGTATAATTATGTAAAATTTTCATTAATAAACTATTGTGTTAAGCTTAATTGTAGATTATTAAGTTTTATTTAATCAGTACGTGTTTGTTTAATCATTATTGTATCAAAATTGAACAGTATTTAGACTTTTATCGTCTTTCTAAACTTTATCGTTCGATCGAAGTTTCGATGATTTCGAAAGCATAATAATTTTCGCATGTGCACATGATAATTAAGAGATAATCCAAAGAATTAATCGAATGAGGTAAGAATTTATTTATTTTAATAAAAATATAGTTATTATAAATTTTTTTTGTCTTTTTATTCGTTCGGAATTCACACATACATATTTCATACGTATTCTCATATATTTGTTTCGTAAATACATTTATTCATACGTTCAACTCGAATGTTATTTCTGAATTTGTTTTCATTTCTAGCCCAAGGTTAGAAGATTGAAAACATTTCTTATCATTCAGTTTTTCCAAGAATTGATGATTTGTGTTGTGCCACGCTCGACATGTTCGACCTGTCGAATTGTATCCCCCTCTCCTTTCCTTAGTTTATGTTTCGATATATCTACATTCTGTTCTCGAAAGTCGTGACGATTGGACGCTTCGCTTCAGGTGCGTAATTTATTTATTATAATATATAATATTTTACATTTATTAAAATTTATTCTTTTATTTTTTATACCATTACTTCATTAATACAAATTTATTCAATAATTTATTGAATATTATTGATAATTCTTTCAAGAAGAATTTATTCTTTATTTTTCATTCGTTTCTTTGACTGTTAGAATTCTATTCTATTAGTTCGTATTATACGAGTTTTTAAAGTAGAATTTTAAAATAGTTATTGTTTTTTTTTTTAGTACAATTACATATAATTGTACATTTTAATTTCTTTTGTATTTTATACATTATCGTACATACTTTAAAGATTTGATTTCTTTTATGCAGATTGCTGAAATTACTTTAGGCGGGAAAAATTTTCAATATGGATGCCATGATGATATTTCACATTTTATGGAAAGCAGATAAAATTAAATTTCTTTATTGAAGAAAAACATATGTAAGTTTGTACTTATTTTTGTATTTTTTATTTAAATTATTGAATAATTGATTGAATAATTGATAGATATCTCAAAATAGTAAAAGATTTAATAAAATAAACTATAATTTTCCATATTTTTTGTAAATTTTCTATTACTTGTAAAAATTTTAAAATATTTCTAATACGTTACATAATATAGATATCATTAATTTTAACAATAGATAACAATGGATTTAAAACATAGATCTTTTAAAAATAACAATATCTTTTTAAATAAATGCTAAATGAAAAAGAAGAAAGAAAATGTAAAAATAAATTTTGTTTTCTTTTCTATATTTCCTATTCTTCCTAATTTCCCAATTTTGTTTTCAGATCATTGTGCAATTTGGTCGATAAAGTCAGTGTTTTTTTTCGTAATAATAGTATTTTTAATATTTTTTACAACACAATAGCTCTGATTAAAAATTAAACGCGAAAGTAGAATCTGTGTTTGTTCGTCAATTATAATTTAAACGGTTGTATCAATAGTTTTTTATTTTATTTATTTTTTTTTTTAATACTCGTTTTCGGTATGGAGTAGAATCAGTGCATCAAGAGAATAAGGTGATCATCCATCACGCGAAGAGGTATTTTTTTATATATTTCAAATTTAATAATTTCATATTTCATTATTTCAATTTTTTCAAATAATCAGAATTATATTTTAAATTATGTTTCTTCCTTTTTTATAGATACTCCTATCTGATGACAACATTCTTCTGGATTTCAATAGCAGTTCTTCGCATCGAAAAAGTGAGTCGTGATGCATTTTGGTTCCTCTGGTCACTCAATCATGTCGTAGGACGAAAGGTCTGAATCGACACGGGTGATTGGTTGTATACGTAGATTTTTGCACGAGCACTGTGACCGCAGATATTTTATAATATCTGTGAATAGTAACATTTATTTTCTCTGTGTTTTATTTATTATAGTTTAGGATAGGGTCTTCTTGTGCATCGCGTTTTATTTTTAAAATAATAATTTATTAATAATTTATTTATTTTCAATTCTAATAATAATACCATAATATTATAATCAATTTGAATGATGATTGCAACTGAAAATATAATTGATTAAAATTTAAATTGTATAATTTATACACTTTGAATGTGTATGAATATTATGTGTGAATAATAAGTAATAAATAATATTTATTATATAATATATAATAATATATATGATAACTTCAATTCAATAGTGGAGAAGTCAAATATTTTTCGATTTTGTTGCAATTTACAAAGAAATTATAAAAATATATTTATTATCTTTAAATATGATAAATCATTTTTAATTTTAATTCCATTTTTTTTCTTTTTTACTTCTCAGTAATATTTTAATCATTCAACTTTTTGATTTCTGTTATAACTGATTCTATTATAACTGATTTCTATTATAACTTCATTATAACTTAACATACATAGATAGTAAAGTTCAATTTTTTTTTGCGTACAAACGTATGAAGTAAATTTTATGCACAAGAAGAGATTTCGCGACAGGTGGATTGCAGAATCAGAGTACTTTGAACGGTATTTTTGTGTCTTTAGAAACGTACTCTGATGAAGTAATCGCCTGAGGATATTTCTATTAATTATTTATATTACATTTCAACAAATTTTAATCCTTCTTTAAATAAATAAATTCCATTCCATATATTAAAGTTTTAACAACATTTATTAAATTAATAATTTAAAATTTAACAAGAATATACATACAAAAATTAAAAAGTAGCCCGTTAAATAAAAAATACTAATACTTGCATTTTAGCTTAGGATTTTCAGGTTTAACCCTTTCCATGCCCATTGTCAGGACCTCACTCACGTGCCCAGGTGCTACTTGAGTGGGAGAAAAGCAGTGGGCATGATGATTTATAAACTAATGAACATTTTTTACGCGACTGACGATGCGTTAGTGTATCGTGCACGACGTATTTTCCACGTGTGTGTGTGTGTGTGATTAGGCCGTGGAAATGCGTCGTTTCGATTATCATTTCACATACGAGAAATATTACAGATGTAATAATAAATAGTAACAATATTATCAATAATTGTAAATTTATAATACATATACATTCGTTCGCAATTATTCACGATAATTAAAAATTTAGATTCACGCATTTTTATCGCGAATCACGCAATGGCCGCTGGCCATCGTCAGTCGATTTCAGAAAAATGGTACGTAAAGTTAGTGTATGAGAGTAGTGTACCAAGCTCGGGTGTCGGAGACGTCCCGGGACGCTTTCCCTAGTGTAGGCCTATCGCGCCCGGGCGTTATGCGTGAGAATCGTGGAGAGAGTGTGTTGGTGTGCCCGTTTTGCCAATTTTTTTTAAATATAGAGCTAGGTAGGACAGGTAGCATACTTTCTGGTGCGAATGTTAATTATAAGTAGGTAGGGCCGGGCAGGTTGTCACAGTCTCTGGTCGGGTAGGCGCGTTTTCGCGTGGCAATCTGTTTCAGGAAAATTTAATTTGAAGAGTGGACGGCGAGGCTGCGACACGAGTGGAGAATTCACCTCGTCTCTTGCTCCGCCTATCCATTCTTCGAATTGTCGCGGTCGCGGTCGCGTGTTTGCCACGAAACGAACGTTGAGCTCGAGATTCTGCGCGCGTACGAGAAACGATCACCACCGTGATCGTTGATCGTTCATGCGCGCTCTGCTTTTCGTGATTTAGTTCTTTTTTTTCCTTTTTTTTTTTTTTTCGTATGGTTAGCGAATCTCGAGCCTAGTTTTTAAGTTTCAGCGGGCATCGCGCCCGAAGGAGGAAGACCGAAGAGGCCTCGACAAATTGTCGCGAAGAGGGGCCGCAACGAATGGCTTCCCATCCTTTGGATTTTTTTCTGAAGTCCAAAGAATGGGAGGTCATTGTTACTATTTTTGTCACAGTGCTCGTTTTAGTAATATTGTAGTAAATATTTTATCGTCTGGCCGAATTTGCATGCCGGCCCATCATCATCAGATCAACAATCATGATAGGAATCGCGATTTTTTTATTAGTGTTACGTTGAAATAAGAATCGCGTTTTTTTTCGTTTAAATTTTTATAATTTCTTATACAGTGATATTAAAAAAATTTATATTATTTTTCGATTAAATTTTTTACTTTTTTCAAATTGATTATAATAGTTTTTGTTATAATTTGTTATAAAGTGTAGTGTTGCGTCGATAAAATAATAGCGATGATATAAAAATGAGAATCGCGCGGGGGAGAGTTTAAAAAAGTTGGATCATAGCATACTAGATGGCGTAAGGAACACTGATCGAGGTCGGTATGTTAAAATATATACGATAGAAAATTCCGTAAGATGTCACTACTCATCTGTTCTTGATCAGTGTAACAGGTTATGTATTTCAAATTTATATATTATTTAAATATTCTAATAATCTTATTTCAATTTATTTCATATTTTATTAACTTGTCATTATTACCATTTATTAATTTGTAGTTCGATACATCCAATCCCTGTATTACATATTGTTGGTAAAGTAATCCTTCCACAAGCATAATCACAATAGTTAAAATATTTTTATTCTTCTTAATAATAAAAGAATAATTTTTTTATTGCAGATTTCTATTGTAATAATATTGATATCGAGATGGTGGAAAATTAACTCCAGTGGACTGTGCATCAAAAAGTGTATATCGTAAGTATCACAAGAAAGAAAGAATGTTTATGAAAAAATGTATTTCCCATTCAAGAAAAATTGGAAAAAATGATTTCAGGATACAAGTTTTCATGAATTGTTGGTTTAATATCTTGTAACCACGATCAATGACTGGAATACTATTCGTGACTATGCATTCTCCGAAGGCTGTCTATCCGAATACAAACGACCAAGGTCATGGTCAGTATAACGAACGAGTTACTGGTACGAGGAATGCGGAATATAAATAGGATCGAGATACTGCAATCTAAGCGGTACGATCGATCGATAAATTTAAAATAAAATTTCATTTTTTCAGAATCTACGAGAACGATATTTCTTCTTACAAATCTGCAGCCTCGTTAAAAAGTATCGTAACAGGCACGAATCTACTACCAATCGCCCTACTCTCCGACTAAAATAATCGATAAGAGGTTCTAGAAACTGGTTGATGCATCGACCTTTTTTGCCGAAAGAGAAGAAAAAAATCTTATCGCTTACACGATACGCAAAAAGACCACTGTAAGAATATCTTTTATACTATATATATACCACGTGAGTACAAAATACTTATGTATCATAATAACAAAGAAAACATTGAAACATCAAAACTTCCAGTTTTATAATACGATATGTACAATTAATACAAATAATAAATTTGTACGATTCCTACGATATTCCAAGGTAAACGAAAACAACGATACTATTTTCAATTCTAACTATTCTTCCAATTTCTTTTCCAGTTTCATTTTTCAACGTGGGTATGAAAAATCATCGTATCATCCACACGGTTCCCTCCAGAGGGCAGAAGTTACGCGGCCTAATATTATATTTCGGTAGAGACCCTACCGGAGAGCGGTGGAAATAACTGTCACAGAAGACAATTTATGTTAATGACTGTTCCTGGGTTCGAGAAGAGGCGCGAGGCCGGTCCAGTCTGCAGGCCTCCGTGGAGCGGATCGGACATCGCCGTTGCCGTCGCTCTCTCGCACGTCGGATTTTTCCCCTCCCAACGTCGAGGCAACCCCTCTTCGATTCCCCTCTTCGTTTCAACCCCGCAATGGTGACGCCCAACGTCGATCCGGTTGTCCGCCACGCAAACTCGCGGGATCCACGACCCATGGCGCTTGTGCGTGACCCGTTTTATCGTCGGAAAATGCGCCGTGCCTACTTCGTGTCGAGATTCAGAATGTCGTTCGTGATATTAGTGACCAAGAATAATAATCGAAGTGACTTGTACTTGAAATAGACTCTTCTTGCATTCTTCCTTCGTTCTTCTTTCGAATTGTAAGTGTGTAAAAAAGAATAAGGGGGGGAAGAGAAGAAAAGGGGACGATGTGATACGATGTTTGAGGGGGGAAGGGAAGAAGGTGTCCTTCCTATACACCGATGCTGAGAACGTTAAAATGGATCCCTTCGGATGGACGAGGAAGTGGATGAGTTTTTGATGGTAAATTGATTTTAGAAATTTCTCTTTTACGTTTTTCAATGGTGAAACGACAGTGTGACGTTCGAATTTTTATCGTGTGTATCATTGTATTCTCACGTACGATTGATCAGTGTTTAGACGAATACGTTGTATTAATGATGATTAGAGAAATGTGAGGATTAATATCGGGAAGGGTAACGTCGATGTTAATGCATGTGTTTTCGACCCCTGAGAGCGCAGACTCGCGAGGAATCCATAGCTATGTATTTTTATTGCAAAGTCAAGCCAAGTTTTCAAGCTTTCGATATTAGATTGTCTTCACTTCTCACCTCCGTATCAAATTATCGAATTTATCGCGCATTTCGAATTTCTTATCTCGATAATAAGATTAATCAAAATTATATTTCCATTTCAAGTATTCGTCAATCAATGTACGTACACGATTTCGTACATAATACGAATTTAACGTAATTACAAATTTTCTTTTCAGAGGCTGATTTTTAACGTTTCAGAAGGCAAAGTCGTACAATGCAATTCGAATCGTGGCGAAAAAGAAAGAGAGAAAAGAAAACTGGCAATCCGGCTCGTTCGAGATTCGTCATCGGACGAGGGGGAGAGGAGGGGGGGGGGGGGGCGTTCGGTCGTTACATTTCTGTTTTGGAATGGTGCTCAGTGGCGCCGACGGTGGTTTATTTCGTGAGTTTCGGCCAGCATCACGGAATCTGGCGGGATCGATCTGCACGCTTCGCTTTCCCAATCGACGAAAAATGTTGAAATTGGAATAGAATTTGAAACTCTCGAGTTTCCGTCTCTCGCTTTATTTGTCTTCGCATTCAGGTTATGGATATTTCTCCTCGACACTGTGTACATTGCGCCGATCGATCGGCCATCCCTCGCGATATCTCTTCTTCTTCTTCTTCGTTTTCCCTCTGCGGTTTCCTCCGGCTCAATTTGCCCCTTCATTGGATATTCGTCATTTCATTATTGTTGCTCGTTTCCTTTTTTTTTTTTTTTTTTTTTTTTTAGATTTTGCGATCGAATTCTCTCGTCTTTGTTGAATCCTTTCTTCATCGTATTTTTTCGCACCTCGACGATATTTTATAAAATTTTGCGTGTATTTCACACGGTTTCTTGTTTTCTTTTTCATTCGATCCTTGCTCCTACTTTCGACAACGAAAAAAAGGGAAAACATGGACGGAAGGTGATTTATTTTTCCAACCTTTTTACCAACGTGATTTTAGTCGACGATATTTAAAGAAGGCGGCAATTTTTCGGTAGATTGGAGTTCATAGCGGGCAAACCGGCTATGAACTCCAATCAAGGACCTCGGACTCGGCCCACATTCCACGTCTAGACCACCGATCCTTAAACTCGTCGCCGCCACGTTCGACGCCGATGCGATCCTTCTCTCTCCGTTAATTCTCTCCGATTCTTAGCGCTTTCCTGATCTTCGATTCGATTTTTCTCGAAAGAAAAAGGCTAGGAAGAAAATTTAAAGACAGGAAAAATAAAGTCTCTCGATTTCGTTAATTCCATTTCTCTGTGGTAAGAGAGTGAGATTTCTAAAGATAGAAAAGGAAAAATGAAGTTAGATAAAAGTAAAATGAAAGAAAGGGGTGCTCGACTTTAGTGTTAAGGTATTGGCAAGTGAATGGCCGCTTCTTGAATGAAACGTCACCAGACGTAATTTTAAAATATTCCGAAATATTCCGATTTTTTTTTACTTTGAATCAAATTTTTCATCGGAAAATAAACCCTCTGACGCGTTGTCCAGTTATGCAATTTCTAATTTCTTAATATCCCTCGAAGAATATTTAGAAAAGCTTGTCGAAATTTTTCCATTTTATTTTACGAAATATTAAATTATCACGAAAATTATCGTTCACAGTCATCTCTATCAAAATCTTCGAATGACTACTAGAATGAAAAATTAAAATTCGATTAATAAATTTGATTCAAACCATGATATTTCTGCCGTTTGAAGAAAAAAGCCATCTCGAGGGTAAAGGTATTTTTCGCAAGAAAAATATATAAACCCACCTTCGCTCAGCGTACAATTTCCAAAGTTTGATAAATACGAGTAAAAAAAAAGAAAGGAAGGGAAAAGAAGATTTCGAAATTCAGATACGATATCGAAATAACACGGATCCAATTTTCGGTCGGCCGAATCATGTCTGAAATACGAGCCCAATAACCGTTTCGATATTTTAACATAACTGCAACGCGATATATAGAACCGCGGGATCGATACATAAAACATTTTCTTCGTCCCTGTTTTTTTTTTTTTTTTTTTTTCCTATTTTCTCGATGAGAAAATATTACATTTAATTTAAATTTATATATTAATTTAAAAATATAAATTTAGGATCAATTGAATTATTTAATTGATTCAAATAATAATAATAATAATAATGTTATATATAATAATAATAATAATAATAATAATAATAATAATAATAATAATAATATTAATTGATATATGTTAATTGTAATATAATTGGACAATTCGAGATTTGGGAAACTGGAATGATTTTTACTGGTCGAAAATGGTTTTAAAATTCGTCATTAATTTAAAAATATAAATTTAGGATCAATTGAATTATTTAATTGATTCAAATAATAATAATAATATGTTAATTGTAATATAATTGGGCAATTCGAGGAAACTGGAACGATTTTTCCAAATTTTTATTTCGTAAAAATTTACTCGTCATGGTTTTAAAATTCGTCATTAATTTAAAAATATAAATTTAGGATCAATTGAATTATTTAATTGATTCAAATAATAATAATAATATGTTAATTGTAATATAATTGGGCAATTCGGGAAACTGGAACGATTTTACTGGTCGAAATTTTTATTTCAATATTTTATTAAACGAGTAAAATTTACTCGTCACGGTTCGTTTCGTGTGTAAAACAAGAAGTGAGAAAACAATAGAGCGAGATGTAATTAATAGAAAGAAGGGTTGTAGAATTTTTGAATAGTATTTTCACTAAGTAAATGTATATTCGATTTCAATTTTAGAAATTTCTTACGCGGATGTTTACGCGGTAAACGGATGAAGAAAATTTCTGTAGATTTTTCCACGTTTTGCAACATCCGCGTTCTGTTTATATAAACGTTCAAAAAACGTAACCAAATATTTTTTCAAGTGTACAAAATATTTCATTATATATATATATATATATTAACATTTTAAATAAACTATTTTTTGAATTTACANTTAAATAGTTAAAATAATTATAAATTATAAGTTTACAAAATTAATATTTTTAATTAAATTATACAGCTTAGTTATGAAAGAGCTTTCAAAGTTTCAATCAATATAGGCGATTTATTTAAAATTTAGAATTATTAATTTATTTTGAATTAAATTCAAATGATTATTTTTAATTTATTTATTATAATATTATATATAATGAATGAAAGATATCAGGAAATCGGTTGCTTGGTAAAAATTTAAGATTCGAAGAGAGGGAAATAATAATATTAAATTGGAAAGAAAGTTCTTACGATTTTTGTTATTTTAATTTTGATTAAGTTGGTGTTAAATTGCATTGACTTTAAACTAAATTTAAATTTAATAATGATTTTATAAAAGTTTCGGAAACGGAAAGAAATTTTTCTTCCAAATTTCTTCTCCTTTAATTATTTCTAAAAAAATTTTAAAAGAATTTTTAAAAGGATTTTTAAAAGGATTTTCAAGATTTTCCAAATTTGTTTTCCTTTAATGATTTTTTAAAATTCCAATTCCAAATTTGTTCTTCTTTAATTTAAATTATTTTTCCCACTGTGATATTAATTTTATTTTCAAATTAGTTTTTTTGATTTCTCAGAAAATATAATGAACAAGAGGGAAATTCGAACAATTTTCCTATTCCAAATTCCAGAATTCCAGAATATATATTCATTAACCGGAATAACAAAACTTGTTTCTCGTTGTGCAAAAGTGCATCAATGGTCTTTACTTTGATAATATTTTTTTATTTTTAATTTCCAACCCGATGGTAATAATTGAGAGTTTTTCTCGAGGGAAGGAGAAAACGCAACATTTTCTCGAGAAGGAAACGCGCCGTTTTCCGCGCAATTTCGCCACGGCCTGGCCACTGCGAAGAAATTAAAGCGTCGCCGCGATGAATTAACACGTTTCCGCGAGGGATGACGTCATCCGCCGCAATTCGACCATGGGACCTCGCAACGAGGTCTCGTTAGTCTTTTATAGTCTCGGCCACATGGGCACAAGCCGATTCCCACCACCGATACGCCCGCTCCCGCAAAACTGTGTATACTCTCTTAATCCTCTCCTCCTCTCCTCCTGCTTCTAGTCCTCCTCCTCCTTTTCTGCGCGCGTTCGACACAGATCTTCGATAAAAAAGGAGAGAAAAAAAGTTATCGAATCTCGGGAAGAAATACGCGCGTTCTCGTCGATCGATCAAAGTTGAAGTTTCGAGGGATAGATGGGTAAAATATAAGTGGAAAATAATTTCTTGCGAATTTTCGTGTGTTCTTCGAAATGTTCTTCTTATGGAAATATTACAAATTTGGAGTTTTAATGATTTTTTAGAAGTTTCGGAAACGGAGAGAAATTTTTCTTCCAAATTTTTTTTAAAATTTCAATTCCAAGTTTGTTCTCGTTTAATTATTTTTAAAAGTTTGTCTCGTTTATTTATTTTTAAAAAAATTTTCTTATGGATTTTCAAGATTTTCTTCCAAATTTATTTCCTTCTAATGATTTTGTAGAAATTTGGGAAACGGAGAGAAATTTTTCTTCCAAATTTCTTCTCCTTTAATTATTTTTAAAAAAATTTTTAAAAGGATTTTTAAAAGGATTTTTAAAAGGATTTTCAAGATTTTTTTTTAAGTTTGTTTTTCTTTAATGATTTTTTTAAAATTCCAATTCCAAATTTGTTCTTCTTTAATTATTTTTAAAAGGATTTTTAAAAGGATTTTCAAGATAGTCTTACAAGTTCGCTTTCCTTTAATAATTTTTTTAAAATTTCAATTCCAAATTTATTCTTCTTTAATTATTTTTAAAAGAATTTTTAAAAAGATTTTTAAAAGAATTTTTAAAAGGATTTTTAAAAGAATTTTCAAAATTTTCTTCCAAAATTTTTTTTTCTTTAATGATTTTTCTAAAATTTCAAAAAAAATCAAAATTCAAAATTTTCCTTCTAATGATTTTTTTAAAATTTCAATTCCAAATTTGTTCTCCTTTAATTATTTTTTTAAAAAGATTTTCAAGATATTCTTTCAAGCTCGTTTTCCTTTAATGATTTTTTTAAAAATTCTATTTCCAAATTTATTCTTTAATAATTATTTAAAAAAATTTTTAAAAGGATTTTCAAGATATTCTTCCAAGTTCGCTTTCCTTTAACAATGTTTTTAAAATTTCGATTCAAAATTTGTTTTTTTCTAATAATTTTTTTAAAATTCCAAATCCAATTTATTTCTTCTAATGGTTTTTTAGAAGTTTTGGAAACGGAGAGAAATTTTTCTTCCAAATTTGTTTTCCTTTGATGATTTTTTTTTTTAAAATTCCAATTCCAAATTTGTTCTCCTTTAATTATTTTTAAAAGGATTTTTAAAAGGATTTTCAAGATATTCTTCCAAGTTCGCTTTCCTTTAATAATGTTTTTAAAATTTCAATTCAAAATTTGTCTTTTTCTAATAATTTTTTTAAAATTCCAAATCCAATTTATTCCTTCTAATGATTTTGTAGACGTTTCGAAAACTTTTCTTTCAAAATTTCCTTTACAATTTTTCTCCTAAACTTTTCTCTAGATGGGAATATATTTTCGATTTTTCGTAAAGAGGCTTTTCTCGAAAACGGTGAGAAAATTTTCTCCAAAATTTTCTTGCAAATTTATTTCCTTCTAATGATTTTACAGTTCCGTTTCGGAAACAGAAAACTTTTCTTTCAACATTTCCTTTATAATTCTCCCATTTGAAGAGACTTTTGTAAACTTTCGTCTAATATAATATACATTCGGTTTGTCGTAAAGTTGTAAAGTTATTAACGGGGGCCCCTCACGAAATTTTCTCGGAATTTCGCGTCCGGTTTTACGAACGTAGAGCGTTAGTTTTATTGCGGCAATATAGCGGAGGGATAGCAAACTATTGTTCGACTTTTGCCTCCAGGACCAGGTATATATGGACCTTTGCAGTTAATAGGCAGGGAATAATGGCGGTCGATCGACCTTCGATCGAATCTCTCCTCTTCTCTCCAAATTTCACTCTTCGCCACCATTTTATATTTTTCCACCCCTCTGATCCCGATATTTCTTTTTTTTTTTTTCTTTGAAAAAAGTCAAGAATTTTCCGACGCACTCGATTCGAAAACAATTTTTCGAAGAAAGGATCGATCGATAAAATCGATCGATAAAATCGATCGAAACGCGTTCCTTCTTAATTATTATTGCTACAAGATTATTCTTCTACAGATGTTGTTATAATAGGTACAAGATGTTTCACCTTGTATTCCCGACTACCGTGGATTATTCTGTCCAGACTCGTTACTTTTAATTATCATGAATAATGTATAATCTTGGTCCCTTGCCAACGATCTGCGATCCGGTTCCTGCGCGCATTTCTTTCTTCCTTTCTTCCTTCCTTCCTTCCTTCCTTTCTTCCAACCTCGTCACTTGTTTCTCTTATCTTTCTTTTATCGCGTACGAATTAAAAATAATAAAGAGAGCCCAAGATTTTTTTTTTAAATATAATCATCGTTTATCATTGCAACAGGAATTAATTGCTTGCTCTTTTCCCTTTTTCCCTTTTTTTCAAACCGTTTGGTGGAAAGATTGGTGTACCTTTTAAACGATACCGGTGATTTTATTTTAATTTTAAATTCTCCAAAGAGAGAGAGAGAGATTGAAATTTATTTCCTCCTGTTGATACAAGGATAGTTCTCATGTTTGCCTTCGAGCTTCCTCCAATATATATATATATATATATTAAGTTGGAAAGAAAGTTCTTGCGGTTTTTAAACGAAACTTTTATCAATCAAAATAAAGATTATTGCGATCTATGCACTTTTGCCAACGAGAAACAAGTTTTGAATAAAATTATTGAATAAAATCCTGGAATAGGAAAATTGTTCTTACATTTTCAACAGCCTGAGAAAAACTAATTTGAAGATAAAATTAATTTCACGTGTATTATAAAAATACACAAAGTGCAAATGCAATTTAACTTAATCGAAAGTAGAGCTTTCGAAATTTCAAGATCAAGGATTTCAAGAAATTTCAAGATCAGGATGACAAAAAGAATAATATTTTTTCCATTGATAAATCCCTTCATTTCCTTTTCTCTTCTCTAAAAAAAAAAAAAAAAAAAAAAAAAAATGGAGGAATCTACAAACGTCCAGTTCAAAAGCACAGTTCAGGAAAAAAAAGAAAACTTCTCCATCGACCCCGTTTCCCATCTCTATTCCACGCATCCAGGGGGGGAGGAGGGTAGGGGAAACAATCCCATAATCGTCCCGCGCTGCCATCTACCCTTCCCCTCCCCTCATTCCCATAACTCAACCTTGGCAACTCCCCCTCTCCTCTGAAAGAGAGGAGAGAGAAAAAGAGAAACTCGGGAGGATCCATATCATCATCATCATCATCCCCTCCCCTATCAGGGAAAATTCCAAAAACCTCGAGCGAATGAAGGAACGGAGGGAGGGAAGGGAGAGGTGGAAACCCTAGGGGTGGAAGCTGGATGGTGGTGTTCATTGTCGTGGAATAAAAGCTGCGGGAGTTCCCCTGCTAGAGTCTCCCTCCCTCCCTCCCTCTCTCTCTAGCGGTGGATTTCATTTCAGGATCGCATAAAATGGTGCTGCCGCCTGTGACGACGATGCCCGCGGCTCGAGGGGAGAGAACAGAGGGAGACGACGGTGGGTTTGGATGGTTGCTCGGCGAACGAGGGGAGAAGGAAGAGGGAGAGAGAGAGAGAGAGGAGATAGAGATGGAGATGTGCCGGCTGGCGAGCAGATGGTTGCGCCGTTTATTGGTTTATTCGTCGGTTCAGCCATCACGTCTCGTCCACCAGCCTGTGTTCCTCTTTGTGCTCCTCGATTCATCCGAAGCTGGGTTTGATCTAGGCTTCGATGATAATGTGGGTGGACGAATGGAGATACGAGGATTCTTCTTCTCTTTCCTTCGAGAAACTTTCCCCTGTCTTCCTGTTGTTTTTGTTTTCCTCCTCCTCCTCCTCCTCCCCCCTCTCCAGTTTCGAAGTTTGTGCTCTCTTTTTTCCGAGTGGTAAGAAATTCGAAGAATCGTTTTTATTGTGGATGTAATTATAAGAAAACACTTTTGTGCGCAACAACAAATTGTGATGTTTTCAATTTAAATTATTGCATTTTTGTAAAAAGAAAAAAAAAAAAGGAGAAAGAAAGTTTCACTATCGGTTTATTTTTCAGGCGAAGTGGATGTCCAGAGAGAGAGAGAGAGAGAGAGAAAGATAGAGAGAGAGAGGTTCGAGCGTGTGAAAGGGTTGATTGATGCCGACTCGTCGACTGCTTTTATCGTCACTTACACGGTACTCTATATATATCATTCACTCCTCTTTGTACGAGCATCTCGTACAAGCTTTGCACGCGACAATCCACATAAATGCTTATACACACGAGAGAGCCTTTCATCCACTCGTGAATTCAGAATTGTAAATTTGAAAAATTTATAATGCTTCGTTTTCAGGATCGATTGGAGAGGAAAACGTGCCAAACGTGCAATCTTCCTTGCGACGAATGCAATGTCTCTCTCCTTCGAACTCGAAAGGTATGGCGAATTGAATGAATCGCGAATGAAGCGAAGGAGAATGGAAAATGATCGAACTAACTTTACTACTTTTTTTTTCAGGGAACTTTTTCGAGGAGGAAGGGAAAAAATTTATTCGGATATCCTTTGGAGGTAATTAACAAGTAATCGTCATTTAAGATTTATATTGAATTAAGATTAATTTAAGATCAAATATCGAAGTAAGGATCATAATAAATTTTCCAAAAAATATTTATATTATAGTATTCGTGTGAATACACCGCGTAAGAAATATATGAGAAAATTTGAATTTTTTTCCAGAACGCTCTCTCTCTCGAAGAAACTGCTCGCCTTCTTCGCCCACCAGATTCCGCCACCAGTTACGCGCCATTCGCCGCCCACGCGTGACTCCGATCCGCGTATTCTCCTCCTAGTACATTCTAGTTTCGGTTGGATTACACCATGTGTCCATAGTTGGTGTTGGGCAAGTTACGTTGGGCGAGGAAAATTTCGTAGCTGCAAGTATCCCCAATATCGATAATTACGCGAGATAGATACGGCGATAGAAGAGAGTGGAGCGGGAATGGCGTGCCAGGGGATGAATCGATAGATAGAGGGAGACGCTGTGAAACTCTCCGCCTATCGGGCGCCTTCGCCTCGCTACGAATACGCCCTCTGCCTTCTCTCTCTCTCTCTCTCTCTCTCTCAACCTTGGAACTAGATATTTGTACCGTTAAAATTTCTATCGTTTCTTTTTGCTATTGGGATGTAATATTTTGTCTTTCTTGAGGAAAATTTCGAAATTTTGTTCGAAAGTTGTGGAAAATCCGATTCCCTTAAGGGAACGAGGAAATGGTAATTTGAAATGTCATTTGTCACGCCGTAATTGGAGAGATTGTAAATATTCTTCGAGAAGGATAAGCTTCGTTGAGTTATTGGTCCCCACGGAGGGGGGGTGATCGCTTCCCTTTTGGGAATCGAAAGAAATCGTGTCGTGGATTACAATAAAGCGGTTCACGATTCCTTTCTTCCTTGCATTTTCGATGCAATTATCGAGCATCGCGAATTTATTTATTTATTTATTTATTTATTTATTTATTTATTTTACGCGGAGAGTGCCTTTCTCGAGTGTTTTTAATTCCGCTTAATCCCGATTGGACCAGGCTTTAAAGAGGATTAACTCTCTCGAGCCGTAAGAATCTTCTAAACCTATCGATTTCGATTTTCCAAACGAAATATAACGGAAGACAAAATATTTGGACACAGGCCTGACTTTCCCTTCCGATCCTCTTAATCCCCCTAAATTGTTCTCCACCTCGAAATCTTACCTTTTCCACGATCCTGGATAATATTCCAACAGGTAAAAATTCAACTTTCCTTCAGAATCTCTCTCAATCAAAAAAGAAAATAATTTATAGCTATGATCGAATCTATCGAATAATTAATTATTCGTAAATTAATTAATTCTACTCTTATTTATTTTTATTAGAGTATTTCCAAAATTGAAATTAATTATACAAAATATACAATTTAAAAAGAAAATAATTTATAGCTATGATCGAATCTATCGAATAATTAATTAAAGCCATCCCCCCTTTTTCTTATTAGAGTATTTATTTTTATTAATTTTATTCACAATTTAAAAAGAAAATAATTTATATGTTCGAATCTATCGAATAATTAATTAAAGCCAGTCCCCTTATTTATTTTTATCAGAGTATTTCCAAAATTGAAATTAATTATACAAAATATATAATTCACAATCTCTTAATCTCAATTCTCATTTTAAAAAAAATCTCAATTTAAAAAAACAATAATTTATAACTATTTATAACTATAATCGAATCCATCGAATAATTAATTATTCGTAAATTAATTAATTGCACTCTTATTTATTTTTATTAGAGTATTTCCAAAATTAAAACAATTATACAAAATATACAATTCGCGCAATCTCTCACAATTTAAAAAGAAAATAATTTATAACTATGATCGAATTGAATAATTAATTATTCGTAAATTAATTAATTCCACTCTTATTTATTTTTATTAGAATATTTCCAAAATTGAAATTAATTATACAAAATATACAACTCGCACAATCTCTCACAATTTAAAAAGAAAATAATTTATAACTATGATCGAATCCATCGAATAATTAATTAAAGCCACTCTCCTTATTTTTATTAGAGTATTTCCAAAATTGAAACAATTATACAAAATATACAACTCGCACAATCTCTCACAATTTAAAAAGAAAATAATTTATAACTATGATCGAATTGAATAATTAATTATTCGTAAATTAATTAATTCCACTCTTATTTATTTTTATCAGAGTATTTCCAAAATTGAGACAATTATATAAAATATACAATACTCGATAATTCGTAGAGGGAAGAGAAAAAGAAAGAGAGAAAAACTGACGAAGCTCCGTTCGAATGATTTTCAGGCGAAGAAGAATGGCGATGACCAAGTAACCTGGAAACGGAAGGTACATCGACACGCAATAAAAGGAGCTGTACCGCTAAGGTGCTGCACTGAAGGAGGAGGAGGAGGAGGACGAAGGAGAACACGACCTTGGAGCTGCACATTCAGCTGTGTCATCCGCGAGCCGTTAACGCTCAGGTGGTTTCTCGAGAGCNTTCCAAAATTGAAATTAATTATACAAAATATATAATTCACAATCTCTTAATCTCAATTCTCATTTTAAAAAAATCTCAATTTAAAAAAACAATAATTTATAACTATTTATAACTATAATCGAATCCATCGAATAATTAATTATTCGTAAATTAATTAATTGCACTCTTATTTATTTTTATTAGAGTATTTCCAAAATTAAAACAATTATACAAAATATACAATTCGCGCAATCTCTCACAATTTAAAAAGAAAATAATTTATAACTATGATCGAATTGAATAATTAATTATTCGTAAATTAATTAATTCCACTCTTATTTATTTTTATTAGAGTATTTCCAAAATTGAAATTAATTATAAAATATACAACTCGCACTTTTTTTTTTCTATAATTTTTCGATCTCTCACAATTTAAAAAGAAAATAATTTATAGCTATGATCGAATCCATCGAATAATTAATTATTCGTAAATTAATTAATTCGTAAATTAATAAACACTCTTATTTATTTTTATTAGAGTATTTCCAAAATTGAAACAATTATACAAAATATACAACTCGCACAATCTCTCACAATTTAAAAAGAAAATAATTTATAACTATGATCGAATTGAATAATTAATTATTCGTAAATTAATTAATTCCACTCTTATTTATTTTTATCAGAGTATTTCCAAAATTGAGACAATTATATAAAATATACAATACTCGATAATTCGTAGAGGGAAGAGAAAAAGAAAGAGAGAAAAACTGACAAAGCTCCGTTCGAATGATTTTCAGGCGAAGAAGAATGGCGATGACCAAGTAACCTGGAAACGGAAGGTACATCGACACGCAATAAAAGGAGCTGTACCGCTAAGGTGCTGCACTGAAGGAGGAGGAGGAGGAGGACGAAGGAGAACACGACCTTGGAGCTGCACATTCAGCTGTGTCATCCGCGAGCCGTTAACGCTCAGGTGGTTTCTCGAGAGCCCCAGGGACGAGCATCAATCACTCAATCGGTAGTGCAGGTGTAATATGATTATTGTCGCTAAGATAACCCGCCACGATACAACCCTGTACAAAGTGTGCCAAGTGTGACATAACAGGATTTATCCTCGCTGGATGACGTGTCGAATCGAATATTTCACGCTCGTAGCATTTTTCGTTCGTTGACGAAATTTTCAAAATTTCTTACATTTTATGGGGAGCAACTTTTTCTTTTTCGACTTTTGAACAAAAAGTGTCTCTTTATTTCTTTTCCTTACAAATTCGTCTAAATTTGAAATTTCTTCGTTCATGAACGAAACGAACGATTCGTTCTCGTGGAAGAGTTAGAGTGGCAGAAATAGATGCTTCCCTGTTGGAACACGGTGACTCGGCACAACCTGTCTATTTTCTGAATGACTCCGCGTTTCGATACACTCTCGATCTGGGCTAGTGAGAGCGCCAATTTTAACTGTTTATCCCGCGAATCCTTGGAGAAACTCTCTCCCAACGAGAGGAAGAAGAAGAAGAAGAAGAAGAAGAAGAAGAAGGAGAGGAAGGAGAATCGAGTACGAAGCTAATAATAATAATAATAATAATAATAATAATAATAATAATAATAATAATAAAAAGGAAAAAAAGAAGAGGGAATCGAATAATGAATCGAATAAACGGCTTTCGAGTTTGAATATCGTTCGAGACGATAAACGATTCATTGAACATGGATAATTAATTCACGTAAACATTTTTAGGTAGAAGTAAAGTCTGACCGAGTGAAACGGGGAGAAAGATGGACGATCGATCGCGTACTGGGCCAACGAGGAGGTAAAATAATGCGGCACTTGGTGCGTTACTTAGAGAGAGAAAAGAAAGAAACAATAATTTTTTTGATAGATATGAAAAATATTTATATATTCTGCGTGAATAATTTATAATTTGTGCCCATATATATGTATATATATACATATATACATATATATATATATAAATTTATATATATATGCGAAGGCCCAGTTAATGCTCTACATCTACCCTGTAGATCCGAATTTGTTTGATAAGAGGCGACAAATTCGGTTCTAGAGAGGTTTGTGTGGTGCATACAGAGCTACAGAGGTCTCGAAAAATCAACGGGTCGTTACACGATTTGTATCGTAAACAATCGTCACGTCGATTATCTTGTTTTATTTCGAGATCGAAAAATTATATATATATATATATATAATCATCGAGTTTAGTTTAACGATCCTCTTAACCGCCATTTTTTTTTTTCCCTATAATTTTTCGATCGTCTTCGTCGTCCATTTTGTATTCACATGTTTGTAGATGTAAGATCTGGATGGATGAAGACTGCGATTGTGAAGAAATTATCGATCGNAAAAAAAAAAAAAAAAAAAAAAAAAAGTCCTCCACAATTTCTAGAAATCGTCGAAATTGTAAGTCGATTAGTAAATTTTTTTTCTCGATCCATAAATTTCATAAAAGATCTCATAAAAAATTTCAATAGATTCTGCAACAATTTTCGCGTATTCAGAAAAAAGACAAGAACGTGTTCATTAATCGCGACAAGAAGAACAGGATGGAACAGTATTTATTGCTCGGGAGCGTTTTTCAGCCATGCTGTCATGCGTGCGGATACGTTGGAAAAAATTCTGTTAGAAGAATTAATGATTGTTATTAATATTGTCGACTTACAACTTAACACGTAATACGTCCTGCGAGAGAGAGAGAGAGAGAGAGAGAGAGAGAGATCCACGTTAGGATTCTAATGTACACGTTGCATTAGCTTGCGCATTCTTGTACGTACGTCTTCTACAGGTCGACTCAAATGTACATCGTGAACAGTGTAAAGAAAAAAGAAAAAAAAATCAATTTTGAGAATCTGGTCTCCATTAAATTTGATCAGAATTAGAGATTTCTCTTTTTAAATTTTCATTATTATTGTACAGAAAAGTTTCGAAAGATCATCGATGTATCGACGTTTTTATCGTAATCTTTACAAAAGGTGAAAATATCGATTTCTCTCCCCTAATGAAAAATTGGTATTGGCACGTGCGAGGCGACACTAGCGCCACTCATTAACTTGGCGGTACTCGAGATAATTTACTCGTCGTTTCTTTAATAGTTCATACATTACTTTTTACATCTTATTCTAATTATTATATGTATATATATATTCTTTTTCTACAACAAATAACAAGATAAGAAAGATAAGACTATAACCCATTAACCGGTAATTCTTTATTTTCCAGGTGGACAAGGTCGACAAAGAGAAATGGAAAAAAAAAGAGACGATGCACGCAAGAAGAAGGAGCCGGGTCCCTCGTCTCATCTTTTTCAATTCGACCTCTTCCATCCTTTTATTCACGGCCGATTCACGTGAAAGAGCGGCGGCACGGGTTTTCTTGAATCCTTCTGTAACGTCCATTAATCTTTGATCGCGCTCGCACGTTAAAATGACACGTTGGCCGTTAGTTACGCAACCTCTGGTAAAGTGCTAATGAAGTGCATACACGGCCGTAATTACCACGGAGAGTATGGAGTGGCCTGCCCACTTTTCACGCCGGTGATCGAACGTTGGGAAAAGATAGGGGGGAGGGGGAGGTGGGGGGGGGGGGAAAAAGAAAAAGGAAAAAGAAAAGAAAAATATTCGATTTCGTAACGATTCAGGTGGAAAACGAGCGTTTCATGGCGGCGTACGAGCCAAGCGTTTTTCTTTTTTTTTTCTTTTTTTTTTTTTTTTTTTTTTTTTTTACGCGTTTATGTGTGCGAAATTGCGCGCGCGTGTGGAATGCGATGGAGTTGAAAAGGCTTGTGAAGATTATTATCGAGATGTTATAAGCGAGATTTATCTTTGATTATTTTTTTTTTTTTTTTGAGTTGGATTCAAATTAAATTTTTTTTTTTTTTTTTGGATTTCTTCCCGGAGGGAATTATTCAATTATAATACGATATAATGCGCAAAAAATTGTTTTTCAACGAATTATGGAAAAAATATTCTCTCGATAATTTTTTCGTTGGAATTGTATTCTTGGAACGGGATAGAGCATTCCGATTAAAAAAGTTATTTTTAGGATTCTTCTAGAAATTATTTTATCTATAACGATAAAAAACTAGGTATTTTTATAATAAATTTAATATACTTATAATTATATTTACTTATTTATATTATTCGATTATATTATTCAATCGTGATAATGAATTAAGTGAATTTTTTAATCGACTTGCATCAGGAATAACATAAGAGATCGACACAAAAATTATTTGTTCTGTCATTGCTTACTCTTATGAAAGAAAAGAAAAAAAAAAATTTGTAATATTGTCGATTCAAATTCTCCTTGCTAACTGCGAAAAAAAAAATCGATAAATCATTTTTATCATTATCGCGCTAATCTATGTAAATAATAATCTATGCAAATAGAAAATATTTAAATTAATTCGTTCGTCTTATAGGAAATTATTGTGCCATCGAGATCGATTACGAGTTTTATTAACTCGAGTTTTTTAAATAATCTTAATCTTGGTATGAGATCGCGCCGCATTGTAGATTGGTTGGATGATAAGGAAGAAGAAGAAGAAGAAGAAGAAAAAAAAGGGGACCGACCGAGTTGCAATTAAGAAAACGGAAAATCTGCAATTCAGAGCACGATTGTGATACAATATAATGGAGAAAACTTGGAGAAAAAGCGTTCGACGAAGCGTAATTCGGAGCGCCAACCCTTTATGATTAACGAGGGAAATGTTCATGTTCTCCGTTTTTATCCCGCGTTGTTTCTTTCTTTTTCTTTTTTAATCACTCGTCGATATGTAATTTTTGGGATATTTCGAAATTTCAAGTAAAAAAGTTTTGTATCATTTTTTTTACAACACGTGATTGTTTATATTATTTCCCAAAACGTCGAGGTAATTTCGATCACCGATTGAAATTTTTTAACCGAATTTTCTAACCAAACTTTTCCCTTTTTTAGGATCCCCTCGTCGCCAAAACCTAGGATCCTAAAAATAAAATTGTTGGTAAGACATCTTTTTCAACGAAACTTGATCTCGGCGAATAAAGATGGCGCGTGGGAAGGAGAGCGCATGCGCCCCTCGAGCAAAATTTCAAACTTTCATCCTAACCTAACCCCTCTTTCGAATCTCGATTCGCAAAAGAAAAAGCTTATTTTCACGTTCTGCAAAACAAAACAAAAAAANAAAAAAAAAAAAAAAAAAAAAAAAAAAGCGCGAAACCACTCACCACAAAAATGGCGGGCTGCTCGTTAACACAAACCGGCACGCGCATCAATTTCATCCGCAATTTCCTTCCATCAAGGAATTATTCGCACAGGTGGCGTGGAGGGATCGTTAGTTAATACGCAAACATCATCAAAGTGTCCTTAGTGCCTCTCTCTCTCTCCCTCTCTCGACGTTGAGGACTTCTTCATCAGAGGCGTCGGGATCGTTAACTCGCCTGTAAACACGGTGCCGCCATCAAAACGTCATCAGTTGCACGAAATTGGAGAAAAATGGCGGGCGGCGAACGGTAAAAATCGCGGTTAACCGGACGTTGGGACGTTTCTCCATTAGCTGCTCGATTCACGAGCGAACGTTCCGCGTCCCCGTTTCATCCGATCATTATTAAACGAGCCACCTGCGATTCCTTCCACACGGGAACCAACTCGAGTGCGGCCTGATTCGATCGATCGTACGAAGAGATTAGAGTTGAAATTGAAGTTGGAAGCTATAGGATAATTCATGGAAGAATTAGGGATTCTATTTTTTTTTTTTTTTTTTTTTTTTTTGGTTCGAGATTCGAGGGGAAATTAAATTTTTTTCAAAATGATAAATAGATTCTAATTATTACGATCATTCGTCGAATTATGGACGGATGGAAAAATTAAATTTTCATTGGAAGCGGATCTCTTTAATCTCGGGGGAGGAAGAGATTTTTAAATTTTTAAAATCCCCGAAAAGGGGATGATAGAAGGCGATAACGAGATGGACTCGTACCGCGTCCACATTGTGAAAGAACCTGTAGAAATTGCTCCAATTATGCTCGGAGATTTGATCTTCCGCGCAAGAAATATTCCGACCGAGGTGGAAGCGTTCAACGAGATGACTGACATTTGAAGCAGCGTTATTTATATTAATTACGAAGGAACGTGGTAAATTGAATAACGTTGCATTTGTAATTCCGTTTGATATCTCCGCGTGAAAGAAGCGTGAAGTTATTACCGTGTTGCCGTAACATAGTTACACATTACCGGCTCACAGTCGATCAAAAAGAGTGGAAGGAGGAATGGAATTGAAATCGCTAATGTAATTGCCGCTCCGACTCTTATTACAATTATAATCGTACCATGACCAATTAAAGCCTTGCGAATATATATATATATATATATATATATACATATATAACTTTATGAAACTTAATTTCGAATAACAATGGCAAACAAAATAATTAAGCAAAATTATCAACTTATTTCTCTCGAAAATATTTTCTCACACAAATTTAAATCATATATACATCTCGATCAAAAATTTCTACTTACTTGCGCGCGAATTAATTCAAATCTTATTTTCGTCGCACGAAACAACTATTACACCACTTTTCGTCGAACGCACCAAAAAAAAAAAAAAAAAAAAATCCAAATTTCACCAAACGAACTCGAACAAACTTTTCGATGCACGAAAATTGCACGGATTCCTCTTCCATCGGGAGAGGAAGTCGAATTGCGCACCGCGACATCCGGTGAATGAAACCGGAAGGGAAGGCCTTCGATCGAGTTCCTCGAATGAAGACAAACGGCCCCCGGCTCCGTTTCGGGACGCGCTCACCTACGTTTCCATGGATCTTGGCCGAGTCTCGCCTCTAAATCCACATCCGAGTGCGCGAGAAAACACGGCAAGATTAATGATATGCTTGACACGGGGGAGAGAGAGAGAGAGGGAGGGAGGGTGGCCGAGTCTGGCGTCTCGAGCAGCAGCGGCGACGGAGGAGGAGGAGGAGGAGGAGGAGGAAACACCAACCGCAGCAGAATAGCTTCGCTACTTTTCGCTCTGTCGCGTCCTTTGCCTCACCCAGAATTGCATACTTGTCAATCATCTCGCCCAAGCGAGCGACACCTTGCCCCCTCCAGCTTGTTTCTTGCTCTTCGATGGGAGGATATTGCTTCACGCTGCTTCAATTGCTGACCGAACGCGCGATACTACAACTGGTTGCCTCAGTTGTTCAGTTGTCGTATTATTATATTTTTCTTTCGAGAGAGAAGAGAATATTTTTCTTTCGTCGATCTTCGAATTCGACGATCTTCCACTAGTAAATTTGTGCTTTATTTCGTCTTCGTCAACTTCCAACTACCTCTTCTTCTTTTCGGTAAAAATAAAATAGTAAAACGCGATCGCACGGAATCGAACGAATTCCGACTGTCGGAATATGCGTAACGACGACGACACGGTTTGGAATGAAGTTGGCTGGATGAACGTTCGACCGTAGCGACGCTCGTGCGAAAAAACGAAATTAATCTCCGAACAAACCGAACATCTCGTTACTTCGTCATCGAGGAGAAGGATTTTTAGAAGATTGACGATAGAATGGAATTCTAGAATTGACTTTCAACACTTAATTAATAAAAGTTTCCGATTTAAATATCGAAGGGCGAGCGAGTATAAGCGATATTTCACGAATTATTATTTCTCATCTCCGAGGTGATAATTGCTGATTCCTTGGGAGGATAGGAGGGGAGGGGGAAGCGGTGAAGAGGCGGGAGGGGAAAGGGTCGAAACAACGAGATGGAAACGATATATCGGGATCCCGCGACTTTTTGCCGGCCGGTCTAATTATGATTTATATCCGTTCTCCGCGTTCTACGTATCTGATTTAGTTTTCGTAAATCACGTCGTTCCACATTTTCTCTCGTTCGAGTGATTGATGAATTCCGGCCGATTAACATTCCAGCTTGACATTCCAGCCGCTCATTAGCCGCCACGGGATCGGAAAACCGAAAAACCGTCGCGTTAAAAAAAAAAAAAAAGAAAAAAAAAAAGAAATAAATAAATAGCCGCAAAATTCGTTCGCAACGCAATTTGCATTATATGTATGCACGTATATCGCGAATAATCGTTCGCACGATCTTCTCCTTCGATTCTCTTCTTCGAGAAGGAAGACGAATTCGCACGAAATAGCATTGTTCCGCTCGTTGTTAAGTTTATGTAATTTTTTTTTCCTCGAAAGAGGGAAAGAGAGAGAGAGAGAGAGAGATATTCTCGGAAGGATAAGAAATATGATATTTACCATTGCTATTTTTCACGATTGGTTTCGGATAATTTATCGTTTTTAACGACGACACGGGAAGTAGTTTAATTCAATATCCAATGGATTAACTTGGTCGCAATAAATCTCGAGGCTAATATCGCAGTCACCTTTTGTTTGTGTCCCGGCGAATCATCATCATTGATCACTGTCAACGATCCAAGATCTTTCTATGTAACAAGTTATTGTATTTACATTACCCGTCCTTTACGAAATATCCTCCCTCCCCCTCCTCTTGTGAATTTCTTTCTTTCTTATCGATTTCTTTCGGGGACAGATCTCCTTCTTTTTCGAACTTTGAAGAAAGTTGACAAAGAAGTTTCCTGCATAACCGACTTTACCGCGTCCAACACCGTCATTTTCTTTATCTTCATCGAAAATCGAATCTTTCAAAAATAAAATAATAAAATTCGATTTCGATTTCCGCCAGATCCCTCAGACGCAAAAATTCGATCGAAATCGACACGAAATCGTTCTCGAACAGAGAATACGATTTTCAGGCGGAGAGGATGGAAGAAACAGGGCAACCTTGGTCGCCCTGTTTGACTGATGGCAGATTCTCGATCACGATGGATCCCTCGACAGGTCGAATAAAGAAGAAGACGAGCCAGAGAGAGAGAGAGAGAGAGAGAGAAGATATGCGAGGTCACGTTCGATACGAATCCTGCTCATCCTGCTTAGTCCTTTCGATTCGTCCTCTCACATTACTTTTCTTTTCTTTCGAAAAAAGTTTTGGAAGGACGAAAAATTGGCACCAAAGAGGGGGATCGAAGATTTTTCGTAATTTCATCGATACGGGTTCGAGAGTCTACAACCTCTTCGAGAACGGCAACAACCCAATATCGGTATGCAAATCAGCCTTCCATCACGAAATGGAACTCGAAGGGGCGCACCGTCTCTCCTTTGACGCGTCCAATCTCTTACCTCCTCCTGGAGACATCCTCTGATAAATATAAAGCAGCGCGTTGCCCGGAGGTGGTCTCCCCATCTCTCCTCCTTAATTATATATATATATCTGTAATTCTTAAATTATTATGCGCTAAATCAAGCGAACCAGTCCTCTCAAAGCGTAGGAAATTACGAAAATTATCGAAACGATCGTAAAGCGGAATCCTTTCGAAAAATGAAATCGTTTCCATTTTATCG